CTTCCCCCCGCCTCCCACATTCGGGAACTCCCCACTTTTGAGGGGGAAGCCCTGCACTCGCACCTGTAACCCTTCCTCCTCCTCCTCCTCCTCCCCTACCAGGAAGCCTGACTGGACCCTTTGTTTTTTGGGGGGGAGAGATGACTCCACGACTTTCAGGAGAAGGCGGAGGCGAGTCCTGGGGCCCGAGAGAAGGGCGGCCCGCTGGACTAGGAGTATGGGGGGGGTAGGGAGGGACCCCCTTCCCCCGGCGGGGCAGGGGTGGGGACGAGGAGGCGGGGGGATTGGGCCGCCTTGAGAAGCTCAGGTTCCCGAGCAAAAAGTAAGCGAGGGGGCAGGAGCAGAGGGAGGGAAACTCCATGGGGGGGGGACGGCGGCGTTAGCAGGGAGTAACGTAACCCCTCGTTACCTCGGTTTCTTTTCCCTTCGCGTTCTGTTCCTTCCTGTAAAATGGCAATCCAGGGCAACCAATCGAGGCTAGCTTTCCTCGATTGGAAGGAGGTGAGGAAGGAAACGCCGCCGTCTGTCGAAGCCCCGCCGGGACGCAGGCTAAACCAATCGATCCGGAGTCGAGATTCCTTTCTCCTTAGAACAAGGGGCGAAGGCGGAGGGAAGAGCCGTCGTAAGGGCAAACCAATCGCGTCGCGCCTCATCGATGCACACCTGTTGGCTGGGTCAGAAAGAAAAGCGGGCGCTGCTAATCGAGCCTGGCTTAATAGATTGCCCTGCCCCGGGCGGAGTTTTGCAGCAACAGAGCAAGAGGAGAGAGTTCCTTTGAGTTCAACGTGGCTTACCCCCGAGTAAGTGGTGAACGCGGCTGAATGCAGAAGAAACCTTGGAGGAAACATTATGGAAATCAGTGCATCGTGGAAGGTGGAGGAGGATGTTGTTGGGCTGCCGCCGTGCATTGCTTTTCTACCAGAAGAGAGATGGAGGCAGACACCTCAGGCAGCCGACTTGTGTTGGCGGCGAGGCAATGGCTGCAGGGCTCTCTGGGGCAGAGTTGTATGGGCCAAAGGGGGGGGTGCTGCTTTGTGCCCCTTAAGCTAGCCTCCGGCCTTCTGTTGGATCCCAATGCCAGTCCGCTTCTGCACGTGGAGATAGGGTGACCATCATCTTCCCGTTTGCTCCAGGCATCAAAAGATCTTGGTCCAACCTTGCCCCTCCAGTATTGACCACGCCGCACTTCCACCGCTACCAAGAGGACCCGCCTTCCAAGAAGGAGGAATAAACTGGAGCTCCCATCAACATCCATGACCATGACTGGGGTGGGGGAAGGAGAGGAACGGGCTGAGGGAGTGAAGGGAAAATGAGCAAAGTGGGGCTTCATCCATGATGGGTAAATCCAACATTCTGCAGGTGATCAAACAGTTGCCTTTCCTTTGCAGTTTAAGGAAACAAATTAGTGGCTCCAAAGGGGCGTTCCATTGCTAACTTTGTAAAGTTAGTTTGGGGTATGTGTAGAAGGTTGCAGAGGGAAAGGAGCAAATTTCCTTCAGGTCCTACACAGCATCCTGCCATTCCTACAGCAGGGCATCACCTTTGGGAGGATCATATATGTACACCTTTCCCCTGCCTCTTTACTGCCTGTATCCCTTTTATCCAGTTAAGGACCTGCCTCTTCAGACAGGCTTTTAATAAGTACGATCGAGTCCCTGGACGTTTTTGTTTTTCTAATGTATTTCTAATGTTTTTAAATACTTTTACAATTATTATCACATAATTAATTAAGGGATTTTTAATTATTATTCTATGTTTCTGTTTTTTTGTTACCTTGTAATTTGTTGTGTTTTTCGTGTGACTTTTTTGTGAGCCACATTGGGTAGAGGTGTAAAATTTCTGAAAATTTCCATTTTATTCTGGAAAAAAAATATTTCCCCCCTGTTTTTTTTCCCAGAAAAAAAATGGAAATTTTTATAAAGTAAAATTTCTGAAAATTTCCATTTTTTTTCTGGAAAAATATTTCCCCCCTGGTTTTTTTTCCCCAGAAAAAAATTGGAAATTTTCAGAAATTTTACATCTCTAACCTTGGGTCCCTCACTAGGAGAAAGGCAGCCTACAAATAAAATGAATAAATAAACAAGCAGTCTTAGATGCAACCTGGAATGAAAAAGTTGTTGCTGTTTTTAACAGCTGCACATGCTGTCTGTAGTTTGTTTGACTGGAAGATATTTTTCTGGGCTGGGCTGGAGTCACCAAGTGATTTGGTGACTTCAGCAACAATGACAACAATTACTCAGTCAGGGGGCTGGGAGTTTGATGGGGACAAGCATAATACATTTCATGTAAAGAAAGCAGAATTATTACTAGCACAAACCAATCGTTCTTTCCCACCTCTGAATTCAAAGATAGGGGGCTGGGAGTTTGATGGGGACAAGCACAATACATTTCATGTAAAGAAAGCAGAACTATTACTAGCACCAACCAATTGTTCTTTCCCACCTCTGAATTCAAAGAGAATTCCATCTCTCTGCTAAGTGTTCTCTTTCCCTCCCTCTTGTCTGTTGGAAGTCCGTTGTCTGTCTGTTTGCTGTTATCTGTTCACAACTGCAAGTAACAGAGCATTTTTATTTTTTCTACTACAAATGAGACTGTAAATGCCAGTTAATAAGAAAGGGATGGACTGTCTGAGGAATTCCCACCTCTGAATTCAAAGAGAATTCCATCTCTCTGCTAAGTGTTCTCTTTCCCTCCCTCTTGTCTGTTGGAAGTCCGTTGTCTGTCTGTTTGCTGTTATCTGTTCACAACTGCAAGTAACAGAGCATTTTTATTTTTTCTACTACAAATGAGACTGTAAATGCCAGTTAATAATAAAGGGATGGACTGTCTGAGGAATCTGAAGCTGTTCTCCTCTCTGTAATTCTGCTGTGTAGCCAAAAGGAGAATTTTAACCAGAAATTCAAAACTCTGCAACAAAAGTGATTGGCAGGTAAAGAGTTCAGCAACTCTACCTGTCCCCCTCCTTCTGTTTCAAGTAATCTTCTCCTGAAAACTGCTGTTTAGCGCAGTGGTTCTCAAACTGGGGCCCCCAGATGTTCTTGGACTGCAACTCCCAAAAATCCTGGCCAGCAAAGCAAGTGGTGAAGGCTTCTGGGAATTGCACTCAAGAATCTCTGGGGACCCCAGTTTCAGAACCCCTTGTTTAAAATACATGGAAATCAGGTGTTTTTCTTATCTGTATAATGTGGTCTGTCTATATATTCTGTTCAGGGAGCTAAGGGGATATCCAAGACAAAGAACAGCAAAAATGATGATTACTCCAGAAACAGAATATAGGCTGCTGTAGTGCTCTTTTCCACCAGATGGCAGCAGTGCATTGTTCCCATTCCCGTATTGTCAACTAGCTGGCTGGACAGCTCAGTGAGTTAGATGCAGACCAAGACGGTGAGTGTTCCACTCCCCGCTGTGCTTCCCAGGACAAGAGCAAGCCTGTGTGGTCTTGGACAAGCTGTACAACCCCATAATTGCTCCCAGAAGAAGGCGCTAAACTAATTCCGAGTACTCTAAACCTAGAAAAACTTGAAAAGGGCCTCCATAAGTTGGCATGGAATTGACAGCATACATTTGCTATTATTAACTTCCACTTGCATAGACACTGAGTGGTGCTTTGAGTGTGCTGGGAAAACAGGCAGTAATGCCATTAGAAAGCTAGTTTGTTTTTACTGGACTTCTAGCAGGCACACCCAAGATGGAATGATCAAAACTAAGACATGAGACTAAGATGCATCCACCTCCTTCAGGAATAGTGGTCACGTCAGAAGAAGAAAAGAGAACGGATCCCTGCTGGAGGAGATGATTCTAGGAGTGAGAATTCTGTGAAGTCAACAACATATTTATTGCATATACAGTGGTGCCTCGACCTATGAAATTAATCTGTATTGGAACAGTAACCGTAACTCAAAATTTTCGTAAGTTGAAGCAGCATTTCCCATTGAAATGCATGGGAACGGGATTAATCCATTCCAGTATTTAAAAAAAATACCAAAAAAGCACCGTCCACAGAGTAGCCCCTCCCACCCATGCGCCTCAGCCCAGTGCAATGCCTTTGGCTGCCCTTACTCATG